GGTATGTCTGCTCACTTACAACGCTAGAAACTGGGTTTCGATACCCGAGGTGGGGAGAGCACAGATAGCCCTTTGTGTAGCTTTGTGATTAATTATAAACAAACAAACAATAAACAAAAATACTAATAATCAGAAACATTTTGATTAATCAATTTAATTAGTCTGCATTGTGGCAGACACTCAAGACCAGATGTAGTGAAGTCTGCATTGTGGCAGACACTCAAGACTAGATGTAGTGAAGTCTATATTGTGGCAGACACTCAAGACTAGATGTAGTGAAGTCTATATTGTGGCAGACACTCAAGACCAGATGTAGTGAAGTCTGCATTGTGGCAGACACTCAAGACCAGATGTAGTGAAGTCTGCTTTGTGGCAGATAATCAAGACCAGATGTAGTGAAGTCTGCTTTGTGGCAGATACTCAAGACCAGATGTAGTGAAGTCTGCTTTGTGGCAGATACTCAAGACCAGATGTAGTGAAGTCTGCATTGTGGCAGACATTCAAGACCAGATGTAGTGTAGTCTGCTTTGTGGCAGATACTCAAGAACAGGTGTAGTGAAGCCTATTTTGTTTTAGATAATCAACTGATTTTAGTGATTTCTTGTTCTTCTGGAAGATAACTATGATTGTATTTGTTTCAGGTAACATTCATCGTCATGTTGTTGCTGTTCGTAAGATATCTGTACTGTCTGAGCTGCCTGAAACTCACGAGATGTTAAGGAAGACATGTAGAGATTTTGCTGATAAAGAACTACAACCTATTGCAAGCCAAATTGACAAAGCACATTTTTATCCAAGAGATCAGGTAAATATACTAGTCTGTATATAAAGGTTAATATACTAGCCTGTATATAAAGGTTAATATACTAGCCTGTATATAAAGGTTAATATACTAGTTTGTATATAAAGGTTAATATACTAGTCTGTATATAAAGGTTAATATACTAGTCTGTATATAAAGGTTAATATACTAGTCTGTATATAAAGGTTAAGATATTAGTAGTTCAAAATATAATTTAAGAAGACTAACGTGAGCACTTGTTAAAGGTGGGCCATTCTAAACCACTTAGGTTCTTGAATTGCATTTTCTACACTTTTTGAACTGACTTGAAAATAGTATCCAGTTTAGTGTCTGGTGTGACATAGTAGAGTTTTGTCATTTCCCTGGGTTTTTGAAAGTGGTTATTTATTAGATTTCCTTAAGCTTGTTGTATTTGTAACCCTATTTATTCAAGAAGTTAAATCATGGCAGCAATGAAAGAAATTTTGAAGTTAGTGTATTAACAAAAGCAAATTTATGAAATGTTACAGGAATATTGGTCCAAGCTTATGAAGTTAATAATGCTATAAGTAAAGGTTTAGTGATGACTGATTAACAGGATTCTACTTTAGAATATTTTATTATTTTTAAAATTTTAAAATCATGGTGTGTAAGTTGTGTTTTATCGTTCAGATCAAAAGACTTGGAGAACTAGGGTTAATGGGACTCATGGCTCCCGAGAGTGAAGGTGGTACTGGGATGGACTATCTTGCTTATGTTATAGCTATGGAAGAGATCAGCCGAGGTTGTGCCTCAACTGGAGTTATTATGAGTGTGAATAATGTGAGTGTATTTCATTCATAACAAGATCCTATTCCTGTGTGTGTGGACTTTCTGATTTTACTAGTTTGTCTGATGTTTTATTATTGATTTCATTACTTATTTAAACATTTTCACCAGATGTGTGTTATTTTTACTCAACTTTTTTATTTTTATTACACAAAACATTCTTACTAAAACAAACTTTTTTTTTCCAGTAGGATTAAGTTATTATTTTTCACTTTTCAGTGTTGCGTTTTTCTCAAGACTTGTATTTCCTGTTTACAGTATTCAAGCATATAATGTAATCTTACATATGCGAGATCTCAAACCACAAGTAAATCTGTAATAGTAATCATAAATAGAATCAGTAACAACTAGTAGTTACACTGTTGAGGTTTGCCAATTCAGAGCACTGTTTTTATTGATGATCAGCAAGCATTCTTCAGAAACGTTACTCACCTCCCTGCACCACAAAGAGCTATTACCTGACGTGCACTACCATGTAAATTCCTGCTCAAGCCACAAGCTTTGAATAAAGCTCCCACAGCTGCATGTGAAAACATGTACTCCACTAGCCTATGATGTAATCACCATTACAATGTAGTTCCCACCAATAAGAGGACAACATTCTTAACATGCATGACCATAGGCAGTGCTTATATACAGATCTGTTTTTTTTTGTAAGGTTTCATATTTTTGTTAACGTTTTGATACTATTCATTGTGTTGTCATCTTTCTTTCCTTAATTTTTTGACTGTATGAAAGAAGGATACTAAATTTTAAACATGTAGGCTAGAACTTTCATATGAATGATCATTAATTTGATGTTTTTTTAAGTTGAGCCATATATCATAATCTATAATAAGAGAGAGAGAGAGAGTCTGAGATAAATTATTTAGTCACTTATTTTGATAATGAAATAGTTACCACAACAACCTGGCAATAAAACTAATCAAAAAGTATAGTGTATTACCAATTTTGATAAAATTTGTTATGTCTGTAGCCCGTACTTGTATGTAAAGAAAAGTAGAAAGTACAATGTAGTTTACCTTGTCCTTTTTTACATGAGAAAAAATTGCAAGGATATTAAATATGTAGAAACAGTAAATGATTTTGTATTGTCTTCCAACAGTCACTGTTTATTGGACCAGTACTGAAATGGGGAACTAAAGAGCAGAAAGAGAAGTATGTTAAGCCATTTTGCACAGGGGAACGTATTGGTTGCTTTGCCCTGAGTGAAGCAGGTGTGTTTATTTTTTCCATCTGGGATAACTTCAGATGGATGTAGATTGTTTCTGAAACGTTGTGTAGTTCTCATGATGTAATCTTAATATAATGGTTAAAATGTGTAACAATAACCATAGACATACTTTTTCTTTGTAACATTGAATCTGAACTTTGATAATAATGTAACTAACTGAGGATGATAAGTTACACTTTCAGGCTTTAGTTTCTCTAAACTTTGTATGTGCGTACTAAGTATTCCAGCTAAGACAGAAACCAACTTAGAGAGAGGTCACAAAACTGACTGCTGTGGAAAAGTGAAATTAATATGACATTAAGCTAGTTTTGAAAAAAAAAAAAGTTATTTGTATTTTGCTTACCAACATCAATAGAATAACTGCCATAACAACAGGTCTCTACATTGTTTTAAGTTAGTGATGCTTGAGTCATGTAAACATTTATTATTTGAGAGAGCAGGCTTCTTGTCACGTGTGTGTGTGTGTGTGATTAGCTTATTACAATACTGTGTGTCAACCCCACTGGTATTAAATGGAATAGGAACAGATGTGTAATGTGGTGCTTGATCATTTGAAAGTAGTTTTACAAGCATGCCTTTTTTTTTAATGTAAATTGTTACGTCAGTTGGAAAGAAATATTATTACTGAATAGACCTCGTGTCGTATAACTTGAAGTATTAAAAATTTCATATTTGATTATACATTCTATATACAGATCTAGAATTTTACGTCTATGTATATCAAAGACGGGTGCTTAAGAATATTACATTCCTTTTTTGTTGTAAATATTATTTAAATTGAATTGGAAGAAAAAATTTTTCAGAAAAAAAAATTTTAAAGAAATTCTGTGAAACTATAGATTAGTTGTTTATATGACATTAAATTTATTTAGAAGTTAAAGATTTGTTGTTTTTTGTGACATTACATCATCATCGAAACTATAGATTTGTTGTTTTTTGTGACATTACATCATCATCGAAACTATAGATTAGTTGTTTATATGACATTACATTTATTTAGAAGTTACAGATTTGTTGTTTTTGCAACATTACATCATCATCGAAACTATAGATTAGTTGTTTATATGACATTAAATTTATTTAGAAGTTACAGATTTTTTGTTTTTGCGACATTACATCATCATCGAAACTATAGATTAGTTGTTTATATGACATTAAATTTCTAGGGAAACAATAAATTGGCTCAAACATACTGTTGGTGTGAACGTGCTTTGTATTCACCATGAGGAAAACATATACACTGGATAGGTAAAGTTTCATTGGCCACTATTCAGTTCTTCACAGATATAATAAACTTTTTGTGACATTACATTTTTATAGAAACTATACAGGGTGTTCAAAGAGTCTGTAACCATAGGCACTTCAACAACTTTTACAGAATGTGTTTCACATGCTGTCCTTATAATTCAAACAAGTTTGGATTAATTGCAGGATTAACTCGACCTTCTCGTGTTTTGACAGAACCGTAATCAGTCACATATCTGATATTATGAAATGCTGCAAATCACCTATAGTTCCAGACTTTTTGGACACCCTGTAGTTTGGTTGTTTGTGGACCACCCAAGTCAGCATGGCTTTGTGTATGTATGTATAACACCAAAGTTTACCTGGCTTTGTGTATGTATGTATAACACCAAAGATTTCCTGGTTTTGTGTATGTATAACACTCAAGTTTGCCTGGCTTTGTGTATGTATGTATAACACCAAAGATTTCCTGGTTTTGTGTGTGTATAACACTAAAGTTTGCCTGGCTTTGTGAATGTATGTATAACACTCAAGTTTGCGTGGCTTTGTGAATGTATGTATAACACTCAAGTTTGCCTGGCTTTGTGAATGTATGTATAACACTCAAGTCTGCCTGGCTTTGTGAATGTATGTATAATACTCAAGTCTGCCTGGCTTTGTGTATGTATACCACCCTGGTACATCTGTCCTGGCATACTACTCAAGTATGGCCTATTATATCTTTCTTTATGTTTTACATAATCTAATATGGCACATTATTATGTAAACTACTATTACACAGTAATAAAATATGATTAAATTTTCCAGGGAATGGTAGTGATGCAGGAGCAGCCTCGGCAACTGCCATAGACGATGGGAATTCTTGGGTATTAAATGGAACAAAGGCTTGGATCACTAATGCGTATGAAGCAGAAGCAGCTTTGGTTGGTGCTTTGTTTTTAAACTCTATAAAAGATATTTTAATATCACTGAATGAGTAAGGGATAAGCTTTAACTAAAGATTGGCCTATTAAACTCTATCCACGATATTTTAATAACACTGAATGAGTAAGGGATAAACTTTAACTAAAGATTGGCCTATCAAACTCTATACACTGATATTTTAATACCACTGAATGAGTAAGGGATAAACTTTAACTAAAGATTGGCCTATCAAACTCTATACACGATATTTTAATACCACTGAATGAGTAAGGGATAAACTTTAACTAAAGATTGGCCTATCAAACTCTATACATGATATTTTAATACCATTGAATGAGTAAGGGATAAACTTTAACTAAAGATTGGCCTATTAAACTCTATCCACGATATTTTAATACCACTGAATGAGTAAGGGATAAACTTTAACTAAAGATTGGCCTATCAAATTATTCTAGAAGATGTTTTTGTTCTTTCATGTTTGTTGGTAGATACTAGTGTCTGACTATCAGTTCAGGTGATTATCTGTTAATACATTTTTAGTAGGATAGTGTATACTAGTGACTGACTATCAGTTCAGGTGATTATCTGTTAATACATTTCTAGTATGATAGTGTATACTAGTGACTGACTATCAGATCAGGTGATTATCTGTTAATAAATTACTATAGGATAGTGTATACTAGTGACTGATTATCAGTTCAGGTGCCTATCTGTTAATAAATATCTAGTAGGATAGTGTATACTAGTGACTGACTATCAGTTCAGGTGATTATCTGTTAATACATTTCTAGTATGATAGTGTATACTAGTGACTGACTATCAGTTCAGGTGATTATCTGTTAATAAATGTCTAGTAGGATAGTGTATACTAGTGACTGATTATCAGTTCAGGTGATTATCTGTTAATAAATGTCTAGTAGGATAGTGTATACTAGTGACTGAT